CGAAGATGTTATTTCATGAATGACAACATTAATTATATCTTTTTTTGACAACTTTACCATATGTTAGCAGTTTGAACAGGTTGTTGCATAAAACCAAGCCTTCCCAGGGGACAACTGCTGTTTATGTCCACACATGTGTATTTTATTTTAAACAACTTGGTTACATCCATTTGCAAGTTTTTTATTATTAGGCGTTGCGGAAAAAAATAAGTTTTAAAAACAAAGAAAGCAAAACTAATAAAATAGGAAATTTAAATAAAATTTAAATAGAAAAAAAGAAAAAATTAATCATTTAATTTATTTACTGTTTTTATTTTTGTTTCTTTAGAGTGGTTTTTATTTTCAACAACAAAATTTGATAAAGCAAAACAAAAAAGACAAAAAAAAAATTTATACGTTGACATTAAAAATAATGATTCTCCTATATTTTATTTGTTTTGTTTTTAAAGAAAAAAGAAAAAATATAAATTACTATCTGTTTGTAAAATATATTTGTATAATTTTAATGTAATAAGTATATATTATCCTTATATAAAAATGTCTATGTAATTCATCAGGCTTGGTCGGGAAGCGGGAGCGATCGCTCTCGATTGCTGACCACGTAAATAATATTTAGTTGCGAAAAGCTGGCCAGATTTTTTAGTCGTTTTGAGAACATTTTAAAAAGCAAACAAAAAAAAGCGACAAAGAATAATTGGACCAATGAGAGACAATTACAAAAAAAAAAAAAAGTAGGCAAATAAAATATCTTTAAACGCGAAAAAACTTTAAGCTAAATAAATACATTTAAAAATATTTTCGAAACATCGCTTTTTTATAATTTTTTTTTATAAAATTAAGCGATGTTTTTTGTAACAACGTACGATTGTTTAAAAGGGAAATAAATATTCTTTATTTAACTAAGTTTGCAAGTTTTAGTTTTAATTAAGCTAAATTATTTTATAAATAAAAAATTTAATTTTTTTAATACCTATTTTATGTTTCGCGTAGTTAGAAAAGTTTAACATATTTGAAGCGATTCTTCTTAGTAAGATAAACAAATGAAATAAGTAAATCATTGAATTACTATAGGAATTAAATTATCAAGATAGAAATCAACTAAAAAGGTTAAAAATACTTAATGACCAGGAAGCGAAACTGCTTCACAATATCGCTGATGATGTTTAGTGAGTGGGCTTTTTAATTTCAATTAGTATTTAAAGCAGAAAAAAGTATAACGAGTTTTAAGAATGGCAACTTAAGGGAAAATAATTAGAGTTAGTAAACCAATATCTAGAAACTTTTCTTTATATCTAATTATTTGCTATTATATATTTGTGTTCTGTCGTGACCTCAGGCGCGATGCTTGTTCATCCGTGAGTTACTTTGTATGCGTTGTTTGTGTTTAGTAACCAGAAACTTGTTACATAATTAGTTTTATTAACTTTAACGATTATAACTTTGAAAACACAATTATTTTTGTAAGTCTTTGTTTAAATCATAAAAATTGCTTCAAAAGATCAAAAGACGTTACGATAAAAAACAGATACACAAAACTACATTTACATAAAGAATACAATCTCTTTTAAAATAAAAAATAAGAATATACAAATAAAATCTATGATTTATAATAAACTTTTAAAATGTTGACAATTTAATTTATATATATTCGAAACATTTATTTTCGTAAACAAATAATATGTATTCTTAAAACAATGCCAGAAATCTCAAATCGTAACAAACCGTGAATAATACTATTTCTAAAACATTTTAACAGAATGCACTAGAACTTTATTTCGCTTAATCAGCGTTTTTTTTGAACCAATAGAATTATTTTTTTTGTTAATTTGGCGGGTTTTTAGTATTCGCAAATATTCTTTTTATTCTTTCGCACAAAGATGTTTTGAGAACATTCAAGTTTTTTATGTTTCCATGTATGTTCGAAAAACAAAAGTTCTTTGTTTCGTACATAAACATAAATGTTCTCAAAACGACTAAAAAACCTGGCCAGTTTTACGCAACTAAATATAATTTCTGTGGTCAGTATTCGAGAGCGATCGCTCCCGCTTCCCGACCAAGCCTGATTCATGTGTATACTTTTACGTATAATTTAATATGAATATATTTATTTGTAACAAATTGTTCGCATGTTTGGCATACTAGGATAAGGTGTTAACTTCATAGACCGATTGTCTGTAGCTGGATTGCTTTTGTCTCTCAAACTTTATTTTTTTTACCCGCTCCTCACTTTTGGATTATAACAATTAATAATAATAAATATTAATATTTGTTCACTAATAACATAGTAGACCAAAAGGGAGGGGGCAGGTAGAACTTAACGCACAAAGCCAAATGTTAAAAACCAACAGGTATCCAAAATTACAACATTACCACGTATGTGTATAAAATACACATGCGTGGACATACAAGCCAAAAAACCACACAAGTTTCCTGGGAAGGCTTGTAAAACAGTTGTGTGAAGTATTTTGTGACTAACATTGTATATTTTATTAATCACAAAAGTGTGTATATCTAAATACTCACATTTTTTAAACAAAAATATAAAATTATTTTTTTATGGTTAAATACACAATCTTTTCAAATATTGTTTTCTTTTTCTAGCAATGATGAAATTCATGGATTATTAAAAAATACAAGCATGTCACTATATAAAATAGCTGAAATAGCCAACATTTCTTAAAGCAGAGTGAAAAGAGTGAGGCAAAAACTTGATTTTGACAAACCTCTATGGCCTGCTTGTAAAAGCACTTGTGACAGAAAAAGGTTAACAACACCCAGGACTGACAGATAAGGGATATTTGTCTACAACAAAGAAAACACCTTATAAAAAATTTATAAGAGTATTTCTGTTCATTCTAAAACGGAAATAAATAACTTTGTTCTAACCCTAGCCCGATGTCTTAATAATGAAACTTTTCCAGAAGTGGATTCAACTTATTCTGAGTCTGATCCTGATATAGAATCTGAACTTGAACCTTACGAAAGTAAAGCTGAACCTTGGCGAAATTGCTAGAGCAAAAAATCCATCAATTCACTCAGCAATACGAATTGAAATTAAATTTTGGGACGAAAGTGGGTCGTGTAAACCACTTTTGGAAAACATTTACAGTAATCTGTTGTGTATTTCTCCAACGAGTGTTGAAGCTGAGAGAGCTTTTTCTGCCACTGAAACATTCTCAACAAAAATTAGGTCAAGACTTAATAATACGACATTCTATAATTAGTGTTTGCTGAAAAGCTTTTTTAAAAATCAGAATTAAAAAAAAATGTTTTTAAATATTATTTTATTTTTTTCATTGAATTTGTTTTGTTTTACTGAGATATATAAAAAAAATGTATTTTATTTAAGTTGAAATTTTTTCTATCGAATTGTTTTTTTTTTTATCGAATTATATCAGAATTCCGAATTTCATTTCATGTAATTCCGAAAATTCCAGAACCCATTTTTTAATAAAAATCGGATTCACTAATAAAAAGAAAAGCAGCAAAAGCAAATCTACGATCAGCAAATGCAAACCAGATTCTCACACAAATGAACTGTTCACATCGGCTGAAAAAAACATTAAAGGCGTTAACATATTTTACATTTCAAGTGATGATATCAATAACCATGAAACTTATTTTAATCTAAAAAAAACAAAATGAAGAGATGAGCACAGTCCCAGGCACAAAAAGCACAGTTTTGTACCAGGTGGAGAGATACTATTTTTATGGAGAATCTCTAAAAATAATGTCTAAGATGCATATTTGCTGAATAATATTAACTTGGCAAAAAAAGATTCTTTAAATTTTTAACCTGGTAAATAAATTGCATGCCTTTACAATGATGAATAGTACATAGGGCTTGTGCTTAAGATTTGTAATGAAAACCAAGATTTTAATATAAAATTCATGCATAGAAACAAATTAAATTTAAAATGGAGTAATGATGCACGTTCAAGTCAGTGTTGGGTTCAATTTGACAAAGTAACATGTCAAATAAGTGCTCTATCCATTAAGGGAAGAAGTGCTTGTGACTACAAACTTGCTAATAATGATTATGACAGTATTATGAGTTATGTAAATCAGTGATTAAAAACTTGTGTTTCATGTGAAAATGAATTTATTTTTTCAGCATTTTTATTATTTATTTATTTATTTTTAATATAATATAACTTGCGATATTAGATATCCTTTTAAACAAAAAAAGAATTACACTCAAAATGCTAAAATTATGTCATAAGATAGAGTAGAGGTTTTTAAATTTTTTTATGGTGATTGCCTATACATAGGATAAAAAGTTTCATAACGTATTTCAACTGTTTATGCTATTTTTTATGCTTGCAAAATGTATGCATTTTATTATATTTTTCAAAAAAAGTGATATTTTAATAGACTGCATTAAGTGTTAAATTAACTTTTAACACATAATTTTAATTTTTTCCACAAATGGTTGCTTTAAGTGCACAAAAGTAGAAAAAAAAAATAGTACTGCCTGTTTATAGGTATTGAACTGCAGAACATTAAAGTTTCCAAAAGGTTTCCTATTATTGCGTTTTATAGCAACTTTATGCTACCGTATTCAATTCCTCAAAGCCAATCAAAAGCTCCTACAAAATTGAATTATTTGGGTTAAAAACTATTACCATACAAAATTTCAGGTGATAACCTTTTTTATTTATAAAGTTATGCTTTGTCAAAAATCAAAAAAATCCACTGAAAGCTCTATGTAATTGAATTTTTCTGATTTTTGTCAATAATAAATCAATCATAACTTTTGAACGGTTTGGTCAATCAACCTGAAATTTTGAGGTTTCAATTTTTTTCATAAATACTGTGGGTGGTCAAAATTTGAAGCAAATTTGAAGTGGTACCCTGGAGACCATCAGGTGATTTGATATGGAATGAACCATTATTTTAGTGCAACAAGATTTTTAATTTTAGACTCTATTTATATTATTAAGATTAAACTTAATTTTTATATTAGTCTTAAAATAAGTAATGAATTTTAAAATAATAACCTGCTTTTGACAAAGCTTCTTTTCTTTTCGGTGTTTTAAAGCCAAATATATCTTGTCCATTCAAATCATTTTCAGTTAGAACTGTATAAAATAATTTTAAAATTGGTAAATTTTTATGTTAATGTGATATATTTATGTGTATATATATATATATATATATATATATATATATATATATATATATATATATATATATATATATATATATATATATATATATATATATATATATATATATATATATATATGTATATATATATATATATATATATATATATATATATATATATATATATATATATATATACAGTTTGTATTATACTATATATACATTATCAACAACCACTATTACTTCTTGATCTTACGAGAATAAACTAGTTACTTCTTATGAAAAAGTAGCATGAGCAACAAGAGCTATCTTAACTTCTTAACTTTTGTTTTTTTTTCTCAGTCAACAACCAGCATGCCATATGTAAAGTGTTATCTATTATTATATATACAATACTATAAAAGCAGAAGCTTTAATTGATAGTGGGAATACAAACAAAAGTTTCATTAACAATAAACTAGTGGCTCTATTCAATATAAATGTTATTTATGAACAGAGATCCGAATGACATCAGCTTTTTTATCAGCAAAATAAAGAAGCTGATGTCATGATGATTTTTATGTTTTAATAACTCTATAAAACAAAATCTATAACAAAGTCAAGTTGCATGTGATTGATAATTTATGTATAGATATTATTCTTGGCACAAATTTTCAAGAGTTGCATGAGAATATTATAAGTAAGGTGAGAAAAGACCACCCATAACATTTGCAGCTTTAACAATAATGAAAACTGAACCTCCTGATTTTGCCATATCCGCCACACTTAACCAGGATGAAAGATCTGTTGTCTTCCATTCACCAACCCTTCAAGGGAGAGAACAATACTATTCATCAGCGGAAAAAAAACTCAAACCATCATCAAAGCCATAAAACATTGTCACCATTTTCTTATGGGTCGACATTTCATTCTCATCACTGACCAACAATCTGTGGCATTTATATATGATTATAAATCAGGCAGTAAAATAAAGAATGATAAAGTGTTAGAGAATAGCCTTGTCTCCATATTCTTATGATATCCATTATTGTCCTGGCCAATGAATAGTGGTCCAGATACATTTACACATTTAGATGTGCAGCAATAAGTTCAGAATCATTATATGATTTGCATGCTGCACTTTGCCATCCTGATGTTACTTACCTCCATCATTTTATTAGATCAACCTCTCTTAATCAGTAGAAGATGTAAAACAAATATGTAGAGATTGTAGAATGTGTAAAGAAATAAAAACAAAGTACTATCGCCCAAACGATGTGCGCCTAATTAAAGCAAATCAGCCATTCGAACGTATATCTATTAACTTAAAAGGTTCAAACCCCTGAACAATATATGCTAACAATTGTAGATGAATACTCACATTTTCCCTTTGCTTATCCTGTAAAAGATATGACAGCTCAGACAATAATAAACTGTTTAGCTGATCTTTTTTCCATGTTTGGTATGCCTAGCTATGTTCATTCTGATCGTGGATCCTCATTAATATCTTCTGAATTAAAGTACTGGTCCTTATCAAAAAGGATCGCAACTAGCAGAACAACCTCTTACAACCCGACTGAAAATGGGCAAGTAGAAAGATACAATGGAATTATTTGGAAGTCGATATTACTCACTCTAAAATATGCCTATATCATCACAGAAAAGAGTTCTACCTGATGCACTTCATGCTACTAATCTCTATTATGTAACCTACTAGTCAACATGAACGTCTTTTCAATTTTCAAAGAAGATTATCATCTGGGTCCTCAATACCTTCATGGCTTCTCAACCCAGTACCTGTACTTATAAGAAGAAATGCGATGCAAAGTAAATATGAAGATTCAGTAAATGAGGTTCAGCTCATTGAAGCAAATCCTTATTATCCTTATTATGTAAGATTTTCTAATGGACATGAGACTACAGTGTCTACTAAACAGTCATGAAACTACAATGTCTACTAAACTGGCTCCCATTGGAGTAACTCCTATAATACAAACATCAAGCAACAATTTAGAAGTAATAGCCATCGATAACTATCCCCCAACCCCTATTGGTAACAATGGAAACTAAGAAACAAAGGAACTAGAAAACAAAATAAATCCTATAGAGCAAATTAACATTCTTTGTCGTAGATCTTCACAAATTTCTAAAGCACCAGGAAAACTTAACTTATAAATACACCAGAACACTTTTAAGAGGAGGGTTAATATTTTGTTAATGCGATATATTTATGTATACATATACGTTTTGTATCATACCATATATACTTTATGTATTTTGTTATAGACAAGTATTATTATTGGTGTTGTGAGCCAAAATAATAATTTGGTTATTATTTACATAAATCAAATTAACTTATTAAAAATTATTAAAAAACTAAATATATTCAAAATATTTAGGAAGTATATAAAAAAATAAAAACCTCTTGCTTTTATCATGCAATCTTTTTCTTCATCCTCAAAATCACTGTCTGTGCTTTCATCTTTGTAAATTGGTTCCTTTAAGTAGCTTTTTCTTTCGGAACATTCTTCCTTGAATCCAGAAACTTTTTTGCGTTCAGCTTGATGACGTGTTGTAACTGAAAAATATATAAGTAAATAAAGACCCTGTGATAAGTTTGACGGTGGGCCGAGCTTGTTACATCGGTTGAACATTGGCTACTCTGTTTTTAGCAAAACAATATCGGTTGAACATCGGTTTTGTGTCTGTTAGCCAATGAATAGGCAAGCAGACATTCAGCCAACGTTCAGCCGATGTACAGCCGACGAGCAGTCAATTTGGTTCTGTTTTTTATTTTAATGATGTGTTATATAAAAAAACTGAATAATAAACTTTTCTATTTAATTTTAAAAATGGCAGCAAAACCTATCTATCTGAAAGGCAAAGAACTAATTCTGAATTATCAAAAAAAAATTTAATGCATAGGAAAGTTAATTCGTTTACCTGTTAAATTAATATTATTTAATAATATTAATTGGTATTTATAAATACTAACTTAATTTTTTATTTACAAATAGTTATTTGAATTTTATTTGAATAGTTATAAAAATTTATAATTCGTTAAAGTTTAAGATATAAAAATATTAGATAATAATATCAATATACTAGGTAAACAGTAATTTGTTTTAATAACAGTTAAAAAATATTTAAACTATGAACATACAGTTTGTGATTTATGTTTGATTAAAAATTTATTCATTTTTAAGTTGAACTTTTAATGATATTATTTAGTTCATTAACTCAAAACTTGTCAAATAAGTAAACAATGCTAACTCTTTAACAATTGACTTTTTTTAAATAACCTTATTAAATTTTAAAGATTGAACATAAAGTGTGAACATCGTTCAGATAATTATGTTAAATTGTGAACATCGTTCAGATAATTATGTTAAATTGTGAACATCGTTCAGATAGTAATGTTAAATTGTGAACATCGTTCAGATAGTAATGTTAAATTGTGAACATCGTTCAGATAATTATGTTAAATTGTGAACATCGTTCAGATAGTTATGTTAAATTGTGAACATCGTTCAGATAGTTATGTTAAATTGTGAACATCGTTCAGTAATGTTAAAGGTAGAAAAGTTCAATTTAATACAAGGTAAGGTAGAAATATTTTTATATACTGGTAACATAAGCAAAATAAGTTTAACTATTTTTTTATCATATCATTTCAATTTTTTGCCTTGTTTATTTATATTGTATATTTCATATTCTAATCTGTCAAGTCTGTCATCTTTCTTATGCAGTGGTGTTATATTTGCATGTAACCATATGTCTGGTAGAGTTGCATTTTCGAATGATTGATTAAACATTAACTCTGATGGTTTACATAAACTTTGTGAGCATTTCTTCGACACTCTTGGATGTACTTTATTAACACCTGTTGTTTTATTTGTGTTTTAATGAGTTTTGTTTCAATTATTAATTTCTCCAATTTGGATATGGACAACATAGAAAGGTTTTTTTTTCAAATAATGGAATATAATTGCTATTTTCAATTATGAATACTAAACTGAAAAATGTGTTTAATATATTGCATATTGTTTTACAATTTGTTGTAACATCACAATTTATATCTCTTATGGCTCTAATAGTGTTTTTTATTTTGGTTTTACTGTTTATATAAGAGTATATACATTTAGTATTTGATTTTGATTGTTTTACTAAATTATGTTCATACTCCATAATTGCTTTTTTAATATCTTTTTTAAATACCTTATTAAGGTTGTTGTAATTTATAACATCATCTATATTTTTAAAACCTGCAGCTTTGATTTTGTACCATAAGTTCCTTTTAACTTTAATTTTAAGTCTTTAGTCAACTACAATGATTTTATCTTTGAGTCATTCCATGCCAAGTGAACCAGGGTCAAACATCGACCCCCTCAGATTTTGATGAAACTCAGTGGGTTGGTTTATATCAATGAGAAAAGCAATTCCTGAAAATTTCAGCTTCAAATCTTATGTGGTTCATGAGATATGGCCATTTGAAATTTCTGATTTTTCCAAAAATAAAAACTTCAGTAGCAAAAACATGTTTTGTTCATACTTTGAAGCTCTGTATTTTAAAAACTAAATTTCAGAAAACCTTCTAGTTTTTTTTATCATATACAATGCTAGGCTTACTTTGACATTAAATTTTTAAATATCACATTTTATCCATAATGGCTGCCTAAAAAACCGAAAAAATTGTTTGCAGATATAGAAAGTTGATTTTTGATGGGTCAAAATACAAAACTAGCAATTTAAGAAGTAAAAATACATATCTTTTTAGTTTCTATATATGGTAGGCTTCCTAATTTTCAGAAATTTGCTGATATGATACAATTCAGTAAGAAATTATGGACCCCTAAAATGGCTCCTATGATCAACACTGATTTTCATGATATACCTTTTTTCTACTCATTTAGCAGACTTTATTAAAGTGATTTCAGAAAAAAAAATAGTGGGTACTCATGGGGAAGTTACAAAGTCAGAACAATGAAGTCGGCACAAAATGCATTAAAAACGCAAAAAATAGAGATATTGATGTACTTTAGTATTATTTACTGCAATGCAAAAAAATATTGTACAAATGTATTATTTCAGTTTTTCTTGAGCTGATAGTTCATAGCATCTACCAGTTGCTGATTGCACTTTGAAATTTTGCATAGAACGTGCATTATTGGAACCCAGCAAATATCTTCTCTATGTGGCCGAGTAAAAGTGTTAGAGGAAATAGACTGCTTCATGAACTTTATAAGGATATCTTGATTTTCTACAGATATTTCCACAATATTACCTAAAAACCATTTTCCATCATAAACACATGCTATATAAATTCCTGGTGAAAGAGATGCAAGTGGAATTGCATAGTTCTGTTGCATTGTTGAAATATTTACAACATTACATTATGTAACTGCATCATTTGAAATGTGTTGAAAATGTATTCCATCAATATTTTATCTACACCAATCATACATTTTTTTAGATGAATTGATAGGATCAACTAGTGATTGTAAACTTGCCCTTGCTACAAGTCTTTTAACAGTTCCCCCAACACCATCACACGCACTCTTTCCATGTGATGTAGCAAAAAAATGCCATTCTGCAGATACGTCATGATCTTGTTTATGGTGACATAAGTAGATAGGTTTTTATAATTTTTGTATTGTGAACTTGCACCATCACTGAAATAAATGCAGTGGTTAAAGTAGGGTATCAAGTTTTTTAAATGTTTTAATACTTCATGAATGAAACAATGTACTGAGTTTGTATTGTGTTGCAAATTATCTGAGATAATGCAAATACTTTTACATTTTATCTTGTTTTCTTCCATAAAGTAAATAACAAAAGGATGCAATGTTGCTTGGCTATTGTTCCAATGGAAACCTTGTACTGCATCTTGAATTAAAAAACTGTAATTCTCAGCAAAGTCTAATAATATTAAAATATGATTACTTGCTAATGTGATTTTTAGATGCTGCTTGTTTTTTGGCTATATAGTGATGGTCTCTTAATTGGTCTATTTGTTGACAAGCTTTTTCAATAAAATCGTCCACTGGAAGAGTTACCGGAACTATATCATGTTTATTATTAGCTTTTTGCCACTGATTAAAGTTGATTTTTTCAATGCTATGTTTATCAAACAAAGTATTAAGATACTCTTTAAGTGTGTCATTATCTGGGCAGTTATCACAACAATGCAGCTTGCAGTCTCGATTTGTTAAGTAACATACAACTAATGTCAAGAGATTTTTATAGTCTGAAATATCCGGTATTTTTTAAAGCTAAAAGTTTGGCATTCTGGTGGTACTCACAAACGCATACTGAGTGGAGACCTGAAGCACCTCCAACAGGAATACACCACTTTGGTCTAAGTTCACAAAACTTAGAAAATCCAATCTTGACTTGAGTTAGATCTAAAGATGAACTTGCCATTTATTTTTAATTATTATCTAAAAAAAATATATTAATTTTCAATTTTTGAATTGTAAACTAAAGTTTCCATAAGTTTGGACACAATAAATAAATATAGAATGATAAATTTTATATACGAAATAAAGATAAAAAGTACACCCAATAACTTGTTTGCCATGTCACAGCTTTTAACTGTGTATGTTTAATTGTTATTTTGTGCATTAACACTTCATGCATTAGAAAAAAAATCAGAAACATTTTGTAAAGTAAAACATACAATAACATATTTCTTTTAAGATAAGTTCTGGGAGAAAATACATATGTATTTTCTTCCAGATATATATATGTTAAAAAATAAAAAGACAGGGTGGGGGGAGGGGGGCAACTAAGGTTATTTAAAACCTGAGTTTAATTCAGTCCTAATTTAAAGCAAATTTGTAGCAATGATTTTGATATACTTTCAAATATATATACATTTTTTTGCATTGCAGTAAATAATGATTACTAAAGTACATCAATATCTCTATTTTTTTGCGTTTTTAATGCATTTTGTGCCGACTTCATTGTTCTGACTTTGTAACTTCCCCATGAGTACCCACTATTTTTTTTTCTGAAACCACTTTAATAAAGTCTACTAAATGAGTAGAAAAAAGGTATATCATGAAAATCAGTGTTGATCATAGGTTACCAAATGGATTTAAGGGAAGGCACAATTTTGTAAGTTCTAGCCGAAGCCATTTTTAGGGGTCCATAATTTCTTACTGAATTGTATCATATCAGCAAATTTCTGAAAATTAGGAAGCCTACCATATATAGAAACTAAAAAGATATGTATTTTTACTTCTTAAATTGCTAGTTTTGTATATTGACCCATCAAAAATCAACTTTCTATATCTGCAAACAATTTTTTCGGTTTTTTAGGCAGCCATTATGGATAAAATGTGATATTTAAAAATTTAATGTCAAAGTTTTAACAAAATAAGCCTAGCATTGTATATGATAAAAAAAACTAGAAGGTTTTCTGAAATTTAGTTTTTAAAATACAGAGCTTCAAAGTATGAACGAAACATGTTTTTGCTAATGAAGTTTTTATTTTTGGAAAAATCAGAAATTTCAAATGGCCATATCTCATGAACCACATAAGATTTGAAGCTGAAGTTTTCAGGAATTGTTTTT